GCAGACTGAGAGGGTGTGAATGGGCAGGGCCTGCGGACAGAGCAGGTGTGAATGGGCAGGGCCTGCGGACAGAGAGGGTGCGAATGGGCAGGGCCTGTGGACAGAGCGGGTGTGAATGGGGGGGCCTGCGGACAGAGCGGGTGTGAATGGGCAGGGCCTGCGGACTGAGAGGGTGTGAATGGGGGGCCTGCGGACAGAGTGGATGTGAATGGGCGGGGCGCCAAGCGGGGGTGGCGGGGCAGGGAGGACGCCAGGGGAAGCAGTGGACCTGGGCCACCTATCTACTGCACGGTCTCAGTCTTCCCATCTATGAAGTGGGCCTAATGTCAATGTTGCCAGAAACGAAGATCTCTCGTTTTCTCAAACCATTCGAGGCATCAGCGGAAGAACAAGCACATAGAGTTACGGGCTCTGCCAGCTGCTATGTGAACCTTTGCCTGGCTGTGAGTCCTAGGCGTGACTCTTGAGAAGGTCACTCAACTTCTCTAAACTTCAAGTCTCTCAACTATAAAAAGGGGTAATGATGATACCTACCCAGCAGAGCTGTTGTGAGAAATAAATGAGACAGGGCCTACAACATAGTGGGTACTTAAAACTACTGTCATTATTATTATGATGCATCACTAATATCATCATCTAAACCAGTCACCGCCACCATCACCATTAGCTTCATATCATCATCATCGCCACCGCCATGTTCATCATGTTCGTCACCTTCACTTTATCCTTCTCCTTCACCACCATCTTCATCCTCAACACCATCCATCCTACAGAAGGACGCCCCAAATCCTAGAGGGCCTGGCCGGTTGACCAGAAGCTACAATCAAGTGATGATGATGATGATGATGATGATGATGATGGTGGTAGTGATGATGATATGGTGGTGAGAATTATGAGGATGGTAGTAATTATGATGATGATGATGATGATGATGGTGGTGATGATGATGGTGGTGATGGTGGTGAGGATGATGATGGTGATGATAGTGGTGCTGGTGGTGATGATGGTGGTGGTGATGGTAAGTATGATGAGGATGGTAGTGATGATGATGTTGATGGTGATGGTGGTGGTGGTGATGGTGGTGTTGAGAGTAATGAGGATGGTAAAAGTGGTGATGATGGTGGTGGTGATGATGGTGGAGATGATGGTGGTGATGGTGGTGATGATAGTGGTGGTAGTGATGGTGGTGGTGATGATGATAGTGGCGAGGATGATGATGATGGTGGTGGTGATGATGATAGTGGTGAGGGTGATGATGGTGACGATAGTGGTGCTGGTGGTGATGATGGTGGTGGTAATGATGACATTGATGTTTCCATCTCTCATGGCGGTGGTGATGATGATAGTGGTGAGGATGATGATGGTGATGATGGTGGTAATGATGATAATGGTGAGGATGATGATGATGGCGGTGGTGATGATGATAGTGGTGAGGATGATGATGGTGATGATGGTGGTAATGATGATAATGGTGAGGATGATGATGCTGGAGGTGGTGATGATGAGGGCTGTGGTAACGAGCAGGAAACAAAACTCTTTCCTGTGAACTTGAACCATAGGCTGGAGCTACCGGAGGTTGGCCGTCTACATTTACACACTCAGCGTGGTCCACACAGAAACAAAACGAAACACAAGCCTCAAGCAGAGATTTTAACGTAAAGAAATCTCAGTGGCCAGTGTCCTGGGGTGGAGAGAAGCCAACTCACATCCTCATGGGAAGAACTTGATTGAAATCAGACACCCCAATTTGGGAGACGTGAGAATGAGAAAAATTAGGAGCCTTAAAACTATAAAATGTGGTCAAATAAGCCACCCTCGGGCCCTCCGCATCTGAATCTACATCCCAGAGCAACAGTCGCAAACGCTCTCTCTGCCCGCAGGCTGGTGCACAGGCCGACCGTTCACCCAGGCAAGCGAAGCACCGAAGAACCTGGTCCCTCAGCTCACGGTTTGCCTGGGGTGGGATACCCCCCTCGCCCCTCCCCCCAAGAAATTTATGGTGAAAACTTGGTGACTCAGCTGACTCACGCCCCGCTGTAACTTGAAAAGCAATTACATTTCATGTGTCTGGACGCTGCAGCCAAACATCTCGTGGCTGAGCTGGCGAGTGTGTGGGCAGCTGTGAATTTAATAAATCTTAATTATTCTGTTTATACAAACAAGCAGGCTGCAGCCCTGGACGCAGCGGGGGCCTCCGATGGCCTGGCACTCGGAGAGAAAAAAGGTGCGAAAGCAACTGCTCATAAATCGTTCGCTTCGGGGCAGCTTTCCCCTTCCCTTCGGGCTACAAATAATAGGCGCAACGTTTCTCAGTTGGCAAGGTGACAGCCTCTGAAGACAGCGCCGGGTCCTCCCTGCCAGGCTGCATGTGCATGTGTGCACGTGCTCACACACCCTTACGCACGCACGTGCGCACACACGGGCCAGCAGCGTGAGCACCAGAGCCAAACCCCAGGGAGGCCCCCCGACAGAAGTGTCACAGACCCTTTGTTCACAGAAAGTGAAGCAGGGGCGGTGTCTGCAGGAGTCTCCTGGGCCCACATTTACATGGCAATTAAGAACCTACTATGTGTTCGGCTAGTGTGGTTCAGTGGTTAAGCATCAACCCATGAGCCAGGAGGTCAAGGTTCAATTCTCGGTCAGGGTACATGCTGGGGTTGCTGGCTCGATTCCCAGTAGGGGGCGTGTGGGGGGCAGCCTATCAATGATTCTCTCTCAATCATTCCTTTCTCTGAAATCAATAAAAGCTTTAAAAAAAAAAAAAGAACCCAAGCGGAAACGAGCCCCGAAGGCTCCTGCATATGGGCCCCCAGTGCTCACTGCTCCATAGTGGGCTGAGACCTGTCGGCTCGAAGGCCAGCCAGCGCCAGATTCAAGCATTCACACAGCCGCTTGTTTTAACGTCGCTCAGGGCAGCAGATTTTGGGGGCCATTTAGAGCCTGCCTGCTTTGCATATCCCATGAAACTGTGCCCCACATCTGCCAGTCATAGATGGAAACAACAACCCTGCAGCTATAAAGACCCCTAAGCCGTGCCCGGCCGGCGTGGCTCAGTGGTTGAGTGTCAACCTATGAACCCAGAGGTCAGTTTCGATTCCCAGGCAGGGCACACGCCCGAGCTGTGGGCTCGATCCCCAGTGTGGGGAGAGCAGGAGGTAGCCGATCCATGATTCTTTCTCATCATTGATGTTTCCATCTCTCTCTCCCTCTCCCTTCCTCTCTGAAATCAGTAAAAATATATTTGTAACCAGACCCCAAGCCGCTGCTGCCTTTCGAAGCTGCCTGACCCAGAGCCTGGCCGCTGTGCTCAGCAGACCAGCTGGACACGTGCACCCCCTCCCCCCGCCCTCCCCGCCCGGCCAGCACGCACAGCCGGCCAGCGCAGGGCTTTGTTCCGCGTTCACTGGGTCTCAAGTGCCTTCAGCAGCGCTTGGGACAGAGTCGGCGCTCAGCAAGTGCGTGTGACACGAATCAGTGAATGAAGGAGGGGAGAGCAGATAAACACAGGCTGCGCACACTGCACCCTAACCTGACCACAGGTGGCGGGGCCCCGAGCCGCGCTGAGGGCTGGAGTCAGCCGCCAAGAGGCCCCTCCTCGGGGATGTTTAGTGAGCACTCACGGGAGCGCGGCCCCAGGGCCCCAGACATGGCTCCCCGCGCACCCCCGCCTGGGAGCTGGATAGATGAGGACTCCCACCCAGCGAGGGGCTTAGCGTGTGAGCACGAGAGGCAGCCTAGAGGCCTGGCCCCATGTCCCCCGTGTCTCCTTGGGAGCCACCAGGCTGGACACTGGTCCTTCCCCA